ACAAAACGGATAAAGCCACAAACCACCTTGCATTATCTCAGTCCATTAAACAGGTGCATTGAGAATGTTGAACATCGGAGCATGTTGTGGCCAGATTACATTTTAGCGTAGGATTCCTAGGCTAGTCAGTGAATCTCAAAGGGCTTTGTGGCTACAGAAGAATTAACCATTTAAAGCACGCCAAGAAGAAGAAGAAGAAGAAGAAGAAAAGAAAGCAGTTAGGATGTTGAATAGTTGACCGTTTGTGTTGTGGCTCCATTACTTCATCAGACTCCCCAAAGGAGAGTCAGCGAAAAATCTACTCTGGACCCACTGTGAACATTTCACATCCTTGCTAATAGTAATTGATACATTACTCTGCTGTGAAATTCATCCAATGCTTTTAAAAAGCTCTCTGAGGTAGTGGCCATCACTGCATCTTATGCTAAGAAATTCAGTGAGTTAAGTGTTGAAGGAAGCAAGCTTTTTTCCCCTTTTTCCCCTTTGGGTTGAAAATGAATGTTTCATAGGGATATCTGAGTTTTGGTGGAGGTGGGAGAGGTTTTTCGATTTTTTTTTTAAAGTAATGTTTCGGGACCTAGGAGGCTGCAATTTACTGAGTCTTTCTAGTTCAGTATTGTCTACCATGATTGGCAGAATTCTCAAGGATTTCAGACAGGAGCTTTTCCCAGGCCTATCCAGAGATACCAGGATCTGCCGAAAGAGTCCTTCAGTATAGTTATGTAGAGATGGATGAATTATTTAGTTCTTTAATTGCATCCTTTTCCACTTCTCTATTTACCAGGGGTTGTTTTTTTAAAAACCACCCTTTACATAGTATAGAAATACATATTTAAATGTGTATTTTCACCCAAAACACATAATTAAATGGGTATTTTATTTCAAGATAATATTTCAACGCATGTTTTGATAAGTTTAAGATTTTTGCAAGATTTTGAGCAGTAAAAAGTATGGTGGGTAATGAAATTCTGATCTATGCATTAGTCTGAGAAGTGGGGAATCCGCCTATTTTGTATAGGAACTCACCGTTTTCTTCAAGCATCCCTAATCGTAGAGACTGAACTGTTAATGTTGCATCTCATATTCAAATATTCCTCTTTTCCCTTTGGGTTTGTGTTTTGAAAGAGAAGTTAAGAAGTAATTTTTAATTTTTATAAAAATCTATAATCTACATTCTAAGTCTGCAGGAAGGACATATCATTTTAGGAGCAGTCATCATAATATCTACCATATACTAAACCCCACCTCCGTCAGTGGAAAAAGATGCTCTCAGCAAAGCAGATTTCTTAGGGTGGAATTCAACGTCCCAATATTGCGAGCATTTTAGCTCGCCCGTCGGAATGATGCCCCTCCCCTGCCCCTTTGTGTTGTTCTGGGTGTTCTCCTAATACAGACAATGTGAGCATGTTTCAGGAAGCATGGGGTAAAGAGTCGGGGGAAGAAGTTGCACCCTTTGCACTTTTTAGGTAAGTCCGGCCCTTCATGTACAGTCACTGGTAGTTCGGAAATTATGTCATCATTATTAAAAGTTCAGAGTGCTTGCCACCTATAATGTTGGGAAGAACTGAACCAGCAAGATGCAGAAATCTGTTTTTATAGATACCATCTCTTCCCCTGGTGTTGATGGACTTTGGTAGATGGTGATGATTAGGAGGAGAATTGCCTCTAAAATTGCCTGGTGCTGTTCTATTAAACAACAACAACATAAGCCCCGCCTGCAGACTTAGTCTAAAGATGCTTGTTTGTTTTATATTTGATAAGTATAAGTATTAAACTTTTAACATAAGCCAAAAAGACAACTTCCCCAAATGTTCTTACATATTTTCCGGTATTTTTGCTTTTAGATACAAACATCTGTCAATAAAAATGTAAGATTGCTGTAAATTAGGTGAACCTAATTAATTATCCAATAAGAAACTGCCACGCATGGAGTGGAGAGAGAGCCTGCCATTCAGTGCTGATTAAATCTCCCCTCATTTAGTGTGGCAGTGTGGGATCTAGCCCAAGTCCTATTTAAATGAGTGCTCACTATTCCAAAGCTACACTAAAGAAGTATGTGATTAATTTTTTCCTAACCTTGCATAAGCTTAATGTAAAAAAAAAAAAAGAAGTTTGTGATCCTCTAGCAGGTATTTCTCTCCTCTGGAGGGAGAATAATATGAAATTACACCTTGGTTGCTTTGTTTTAACATGAAGCTGACTCCTACACCCTCTGCCAGATTCAGTAGGCTGAAAATAATTTTGGTTCCAGTTGTTATAATAACATTGCACCATATAAAGCCGTTTCATCAGATGATCTCAAAGTTCTCTGCAGTCTATTAATTAATTAAAGTTTACTCCCTAGAGTGGTAGGAAAGTATTAATAGGTATGCATTATGTAGAGCCTCTGAGAACTCAGTTCAGTGGCGGCGGCTGCATTGTTCTTGTCTTGCCCCAGTGAGATTTGGACTTGCATCGCTCCGTATCTATGAAAAATCTCAGGAAAATTAGGAGAACTTGGCTTGCAGTTAGTTGAAACCATTTGCACCTCTTTAGTCGGTGTGCCTACACTTTAATATCACTATGTGCCTTGTCTTGGACTTATGATAGTGGACCCCACCCACTTAGAATTTGCAGTGACATTACTTTGCATCATGAACCGCGCTTGCAGTCCAGCTAGGTTTCTTGCCATTGCTACGCAGCATAACGTTTATGTAGCTTTCCAGGTGCGAAGGGCCTCTAGCTAAGGAATTCAGCATGGTGTACGTTGAGGAAGGGAAGGATGACGTAATGCATAGCTAGTGACTTGCTACTTCCAACTTGAGATACACATGTTATTTCCATGTATTGTGGCATTGAAACTTTAGGTTTCTATGTAACCTTAGTCACCTTATTTTTCGCTCCATAAGACGCACCAGACCACAAGATGCGCCTAGTTTTTGGAGGAGGAAAACAAGGAAAAAAATATTCTGAATCTCAGAAGCCAGAACAACAAGAGGGATCGCTGCGCAGTGAAAGCAGCAATCCCTCTTGCTGTTCTGGCTTCTGTGATAGCTGCGCAGCCTGCATTCGCTCCATAAGACACACACACATTCAATTTTGGAGGAGCTTGGTAGGCTGCACTAGAGCTGAACTGAATTTTTGTGAGGCTTTTAGGGGACGCGGGTGGCGCTGTGGATAAAAGCCTCAGCGCCTAGGGCTTGCCGATCGAAAGGTCGGCGGTTCGAATCCCCTGCGGCGGGGTGCGCTCCCGTTGCTCGGTCCCAGCGCCTGCCAACCTAGCAGTTCGAAAGCACCCCCGGGTGCAAGTAGATAAATAGGGACCGCTTACTAGCGGGAAGGTAAACGGCGTTTCCGTGTGCAGCTCTGGCTCGCCAGAGCAGCAATGTCACGCTGGCCACGTGACCCGGAAGTGTCTCCGGACAGCGCTGGCCCTCGGCCTCTTGAGTGAGATGGGCGCACAACCCTAGAGTCTGTCAAGACTGGCCCGTACGGGCAGGGGTACCTTTACCTTACTTGTTCTTTTCTATTAACATAGCCTCTGATATTGGTTACTGATCTGGAGCTAGATGGTCCTTCATCACTGTGTTCCACTGGGTTTGTAGTATTCTAGTATTGTGCTACGTAAATAATAGAACTGGGTGGCCAGAAAATGAGAACTAGTCTTCAGGTAATGAACCACTTGCCATTGCTTTTGAGCAATTTTCTTCCATGAAATCTAGAACTAATTCCTATAGCTGTTGGAGTTTTCCTGTGTGACGTGCCCACTTGCTTTCAAAAATGAGTTTCACATAACTTTGTGAAAGATTATCAGGGTTGTTAGGGGCCGTTGCTTGGGAAATTATACAGCATTTGACTGGACCAGATGACAGAACATCACTTGGTGCTACAAGCTTTCCCATTCCATCCTACACATGACTATGCTTCTTTGCTACTAGGCAGACCATAGGAATAATTCCTTCCTTTCTCCATTGGTCTGAGTGACTCCCAAGACTGTATTCTGACACCTGAGTTGCATTTGGTTTATCTTAGCGTCACACATGGTCAGGTTTGGATATAAAATGGGTCTGGAGGGTTAATTTTTAACGCATAAAAGGAGCGGCCAGATAATGAGAAAATAACTAGCCCCTAGTCTAACTTACCTTTCCGTGTTCCACTGCTTTAATACCAAAGCTGTCTCACTTCCGGTCTTAGAGCTGAGCTCTAGGATTTTGGGGGATTGTTAAAGACGTGGAATGCATTCATTTTAGTGCTTAAAAGTCTTTTATCTGTTTTGTAGCTGACTTGATAAGCATATGTGTAATAAATATGTATATGCCTGGCTGTATTGTTTAAAAAAGTACTATTAACTCTCCAGAAAGGACTACCCTTACTACAAATCTATCCTAGACATCAGTTGTGTGTGTGTGTGTGTGTGTGTGTGTGTGTGTGTAGGTAAGTAAGTAAGCTGAAGAGAGTAGCTTTTCTGATTGTGGTACACTGGGAGATCCCATCAGGGTCTATCATGTCACAGGGTGAGTGGGGCTGATACAGGAGGGATTGGGGTTGGAGTTTGAGAAGCAAAAGAGAAGTATTGTGATTTTGTGATGTAGTTATTGGAAGGTAGTAGTGATGCTTCAATTTTGAATTAAGCTATGACACCAAAGTTTCCTGATACTGCCCTCTTGATGGAAGGTAGTAGTGATGCTTCAATTTTGAATTAAGCTATGACACCAAAGTTTCCTGATACTGCCCTCTTGATGGGCCAAAATTGGTTGTCATACAGCTGGATACCTACAAAATATTGGGATCAGAATTTGCGAGAATGTCTATGCAAGAAGGAGTGCATATGGAAAAGGACAAAGCATGCTGAATGCTGTGTATTTTTCTAAACTGAGAACTGTTTGCCGCAGCCACCATTTGCTGTAGTAGATCTAATGCTGCATAGAAAGCAGACATAATCATGTTTTTAAGTAAGGAAAAACCCCAACTGATCGTGAATGCATAATTTAGGAAGGAAATCTTTTTTCTTTCTTTTGCAGATGTGCAGATCAGCTCTCAAAATGTCTTCTGTGTCTTCCGTGTACCTCCTAAGCCAGTTGCGTTAGCCGTCCTGCTAGCTGACTAATAGAATTAATAACTGTAAAAGCAAAAAAACAAAAAAGCATTCTAGAGCCACATGCCTTATGAAGTCAATGCTGGGTATGATTTTAAAAGTATGTAATCTATTTTTTTTTTCCAAGTGGAAATGTTAACTGGAAAACTTCTTGGCACGCTATAAAGCATTGTGCAATCTGTTATTTGTCTTACAGATAATAATTGCAGAATGCTTATATGCTTTCTCTGTATTCTCACTCTGTCTAACATGACTTGCCAGTAGATAGTTTCTTCCATTTAGAAGTACTGCAAATGGGCTTTTATTTAGATAATATGTCTTTTTGAAAAATGATATTGATAGTGTACAAGCCAGAGGAAAAGCATATCTTTCTTTAAGGGTAGAGTATCATAGATACAGTCCAATGAAACCGAAGTTTTTAGGAGAAAAAAATAATAGGAGGGGGTGGTGGAAGGGTGATGCGCCTAATATTAGCTTCACAAATTCTTCTTCTCATACGAAAATATTGGCAATTATTTTGAGATTTTAGAAAGGGTGGGGGGAACTTCAAAAAAGCTTTTGTGTATTTTGCCTCACCCAGCCCATGGCCCAGCCATCTGTTTCAGCTCTTCCTAAGCTCCCTTCTTCTCAAATCACATTGGGATGATGGTACCCAAAGGGTGTGGCTAGCTTCAGAAATCCAGTATAGATCAGGAGGTATCTTCAGCAAGGCGATATTCAGCCCACCCAGTTGCTGAACAACGTGTTGGTACTGTGCTTGCCATAAAATCCTCTTTCTTTGTAGGGGTTGACTCATTTCCCCCGTTTTGAGACCCTAGGCCGGCTAACGTGGTGCTTTTCAGATATTGTCAGACTACAGTTCCCATCATCCATAACCAATGGCCATGCTGGTTGAGGGTGATGGGAGCTGGAGTCCAGCAACATCTGGAAGGGAGCACTACGTTGGCTACGCCTGCTCTAGGCAGTAAAGTTATAACATTTTACAGTACTGTAAAATTATAGCATGGAAGTAACTGATAAGTATAAGATTCTCATTCGAACATTATGTTTGCTTGATAACTATGAGATTAGACCCAGACCATGCAAAATATGAAAGAGTGCATAGTTTATTGTTTGTTTTAAGAAATTCTGGATCTCTTATGTGAGCAACACTCATCTCAAAACATAGCTCATATAGCCTATAGTAGCATATATATTTTTCAGTTCTATATCTGTTTTCACAATTAAGGGGTTTTCTTATCTTAAAGCAAAGAGTGGCATAGGGTTCAGTAGTAGGAAGGGAGGAGCCAATGCCACCCCCCCCCAAAAAAAAATCTGGTGTGTGTGAGTGCATGCATGCATGTGTGAGGCTAAATACTGATCTCAGTATGACACATCAATAATTATTTATTCTAATAAGAATTTTTTAAAAAAAGAATTTAGCATGGCATTACTGGGATTCTTTTACAGAGATGTCAAGCTACTAACTGATGCACAGAACTGGAGATTACCAGTGATATTTTAAAATTTATTTAAATTACATTTTGAAATGTTGCTATTTCTGTAAGATTTAAGTCAAAATGAGTGTGCCAGCATTGTAACTGTGCCCAAGTAAGTGTGCCACTGATAGTATCCAGTGTTTTATAAAAGCTTGCGGGTATTTTGTATCTGGCAGAAACTGCACCTTTATGTTTAAGGGTGAGGGGTGTCATAAATTGACTGCGTAGTTTAAGCAGTCTAATTGTTTTTCTTTTTCTGCTTTCAGATATGGTCCGGAAAAAGAACCCCCCTCTAAGAAACGTTGCTAGTGAAGGTGAACCCGAGACTCTCAAGTCGCCGGGTCCTGAAAGTGACACTATTGAAAGGCAACGAGAATTTTCTGCCGGTCCGATGCAAGGGAACACTGAGCAGAGTGAGGCTGCGGAGCAAACTGACAAGGAGGGGTTTTGCACGCATGTCCCAGAGTCATCTCCCAGCACTAAAAAGGACTTTAAAAGCTCCGCAGCAAGCGAAAAGGCTGGCTTTAATTATGAAAGCCACAATAAGGGAGGAAATGTTCCATCCTTCCCTCATGATGAGGTGACAGACAGAAATATGCAGGGCTTCTCATCTCCAGCTGTTGGGGGAATCTCAGAGTCCTTGAAGTCTCCTCTCAGATCAGATGCAGATGACACCCAAGATGTGATCTGCACCCCGCCAGGAGATCTGTCGGAGAAAAGCGATGAGCATCGCACATCACCAAAATCTACGGACGAAACAGTGCATGTGCAAAGTGGTCAAGCCGAGGGCCGGGGTTCGAGCCCGGGTTCGGTGGCCTCAAAAAACCCACAAGTGCCTTCAGATGGGGACGCAAGGCCAAGCAAATTGAAAGCAGATTTGCTGGCAAATGAGAACCCTGATATGGCGCCTCTGTCTCCAGAGCTTCAGGACTTCAAATGCAACATCTGTGGCTATGGTTACTATGGGAACGACCCCACAGATCTCATCAAACACTTCCGCAAGTACCACCTCGGGCTGCACAACCGCACCAGGCAGGATGCTGAGCTTGACACTAAAATTTTGGCTCTCCACAACATGGTGCAGTTCAGCCACTCCAAAGACTTCCAGAAAGTCAATTGTTCTGTGCTGTCAGGGGTCCTGCAGGATATCAATTCCCAAAGGCCTGTCCTGCTAAACGGGACTTATGATGTGCAGGTTTGTATCTCGTACTTCCATCCCTCCCTGTGCGCTTCTTAACAAGAAAAACATGGGGACACAATTTTAAGCTTGCGTAATGAATCTCATGTGAGCTGCTACAGCCACATCAATGCCACTTAAAATAAAAAAATCCTTCCTGTAGCACCTTAAAGACCAACTAAGTTAGTTCTTGGTATAAGCTTTCGTGTGCATGCACACTTCTTCAGATACACATCTGTGTGCATGCACACGAAAGCTTATACCAAGAACTAACTTAGTTGGTCTTTAAGGTGCTACAGGAAGGATTTTTTTATTTTGACTATGGCAGACCAACACGGCTACCCATCTGTAACCAATGCCACTTAAGTTACTGCTTTTCAAGTTTGGTCTGCATGAATTCATCGTTCATTTCACACATTATTCAGAAGCAGACTTAGGTTTAGCACTAAGTGTGTACCTAACAAGAAGCTGCTCAGTGAGTGACTCCATGGTTAAGTTTGGATATAATGCTAAGCCACAGTTTCACTTTACAAAAGTGAGCTGCTTGACTAATTACTTTACCTCTTCTGGTGTGTACCAGAGGAGGAGATCGGAAGCACCTAGGCCCTGATATAAAGTAAGTAGAGTTTGTTGTTACTCCCAAAATGAGCTAAACTGTGGTTAGTTTGTAAACAGCCATGATAAAAAAGGCATTTTGATTTGGGCTTGTTTCAATAAACTGTAGTCTAAATTAACTACAGTTTGTCCTTATTGGATGAAACAGAAATTAAAAGGGAAAAGACCTTTAGGTGCACAGAAAAGGGTTTATTAGGCCCAGCATACAAATTCTTCTTTGGGGCACTCCTAATAGTTATTTATCTGATTTGTAAAATGCTGTTTAAGCTTGCTGGAGGAAGAGAGCAGAGGAAGAAGCTTTCGAACCTAAGGCCTTAGCATTCTCATCCCCATAACAGTATACTGCGGTTTAATGTTATGTTCAAGCCAGGTCACATGTTTGCAAAAACTTGCTTGCTGCATTAGCACATTAAATTTTTAATTCTCTGCTTAACTGAGTTGGGGATAGTACATTTTAAGTTAGTCAGGACTGAATCCCAAATGAATCAGATCAGATAGTGATGACTTTTCATTTGGTTTCAATGGGACTCAGTCATGACTAACTATTCCTGGATTCAGGGCTCGTAGTAATGGGTAATGACTGAAGGAATCTTCAAATCATGCTTCCCTTAAGGATAGGGCTGCTCATATTATTTGGTGGTGAAAGTATCCAAATTCCTCAAGATAAATTATGTAAACAGATGCAGTGCAGAGAATCACAGAGTTTGGAAGGTATCACAAGGGCTCAGCTAGTCCAATCCCCTGCAATTCAGGAACCTTTTTACCCAATGTAGGGCTGGAACCCATGACCATGAGATTAAGAGTCTCATGCTCTTATTGGCTGAGCTATCCTGCTTGGTTTGATGGGTCATAGAAAAATATCTAGTCCAGCCTCTCGCTCAATGCACAATCTATTGTACAGTATGATGCAGGGCTTCTTACATTGCATTCTGCGTCTGATAGTTGATTTTGATTTTTTTTTACGGGGTGGGGGGAGAACTTAGAACAGGCATGGGCAAACTCTGGCCCTCCAGATGTTTGGGACTACAATTCCCACCATCCCTAGCTAACAGGACCAGTGGTCAGGGTTGATGGGAATTGCAGTCCCAAACATCTGGAGGGCCGGAGTTTGCCTATGCCTAGAAGCCATAAGTTTGTATCCAATGCTAGTTCTACTCAGAGCTGATCTATTTAAATCAATGAACCTTTGTTAGCCATACCCATTAACTTCAATGGGCCTTTTCTGAGTAGGACTAGCATTGGATACAGTCCGGAATCAAGAGGGTGGTATGAAAGGGCTCCTTAGCCCTTCTTCCAACCATGGAATGGGGAAAATGTGGCTCTCCATATGTCTCTGGACTACGACTCTGGACTAGCACTATGATGGGGCCCCAGACGATTTGTGGGATAGCAACAGTTGTCAGGTCAACCTCTTGCCTGGTATAAATGGGCCTTTTGTGGTATGGACTTGATGGGGTCATGATTGTACCCTTATGTGGCACCCTAATGGTTGCTGGCCCAACTCTTGTCTTTCTTGCATAGATATAATAATCTGTGTGGTAGGATGGGTATGGGGAGGCTTAGGGATGCTTAAATGGCAGACAGCCAAATGTGCCATGGCTTTATCAGCAAGGGAATGGGATGTGCCTTCAGCAGTTTCGGCATGTGAGTCTCACTTCGTGCCATGTGATTCTAAAAATGGGAAACATGCAGGTTTGGTAGATCATATCTTGGGGAAAATACAGTCCTATGGGAAATAACTCTCTTGAAATAATGTAGCAGAAAATTAGTATCTGGATTATTTTAAATGAACAATCTGATCTCTGCTGGTTGCTGGAAGCCATGGCTTTTCTTATTGATTTTTGATGGAGCAAGGAACATTAAGTCTTGAGGACAAGGAGTGTAACTGATCTGGTGCCAGGCCTATAAGGCTTACATTTCCGGACAACAGAAAGCCATCTGAGCATTATGAGAGTAATATTCCATAATAAATCCTAGCACACTTCATCATCATAGTAGTATGCATGGAGAAGCAGGCCTGTATTTTTTCTTAGGCACTGTGTCTATTCTTTTCAGTTTTGCTTCTGCAGGGTATGTTATGGGTGGAGGTGGGTGGTGCATAATTCCGTAAGTTATGTACTCTGCAACTTTATACTAATTTGCCTAAATTCCCAGCTGAATTCCTCTCATCTCCAGACACTGTGCCTTGCTGGAGTCTCCACGTGTCACAATGAGGTTTTTAATTTTAATTGCGCTGGCTTTGCCTTAGAATTCTGTTATCATTCACAACCACCTTGTTATGTAGGCTAATAATAAATATTATTCTAATTATTTTGCCATCATGGTACAGTGTGTGGCTTTCTGCTCTTCCGCCATGTACCCTTTAATGCTTTTAAAAAGGGGGTTTGTTTTGTTTTTGTTTAAATGGCATTCCCTCTCCAGTAAGCAGGACAAAAGAGAGCGTGTATCGCTAACCACAAATGAAGCAGTCCAATTAAGTGCAATCAGGCCAGTTGGAAACAATAATACAAATTTACTAATTTATTAGTGACAAAATTAAATGATTTTCTATGTGGTACTTCATCTAGAGATAGTTTTATTATAAATTATGAGTGGTATTTTTTCTCAGTTAGACTCAATCATGCCACATCCCCCTAACTACTTTACTTTACTTTTTTGGGTCTCGATGTTTGCTGTCTGAATGGCATAATTTGGTTAAAGAGAAACCTCACCAATAGTGATATAATTAAAGTCACATATTTCACAGACATTTCACTAAAAACATCAAAGTAATATAGAAAACTTGAATTTTTGCTTGCTGGAAACTTCAGGTTAATTCTATAAAGCCCGTTGAATTAATCTATTGCGTCTTTTGACAGTTTCAGTTCTGTAGAAAAAGGCTGGCTCTGTTTGTAGCTTGTTAAAACTGCAATGTGACACACATTTGGTTTATTTCAGCACCTGATGACAGGGCTGTAGGGAGATTCTGTGAACCCTTTCACAAGAATTTATCCTGTAAAGGTTTCTTATGAAATGACTGTCTGGAATATCTGCTGGGTTGCAAAAACTGCTAGTACTCTTGCAAGTAACGTGCAAAACAAATAATAAGCTAAACCTATGGCTTGTAAATAATATTGGCATGATGTGTTAAACAAGACACAGCAGTTTTTAATTACAGTAATAGTTCCTGGGAATGCCAATATTTAATGATGGATCCAGCAGTAAAGATGGTAGGAACGTATGATTAAGGGGCACAGAAACATTAACCTCCGAGCAGGCATAATGGTGTGAACATTAACTGGGAGATGTGGGCAATCCAGAAACTGATTTTGTGTTTCTTTAGAACGTAGTATTTAACTAACTGACTCAGGCTTTCAAAAGATTGTGATAGTCAATATACAGGAATTTGATTTTTTTTTTTTTTTTTAGCATTCTCTTACATCTTCCTAACAGTGATATTGTTAGGTTCTTTCTTATTTATGGGCAAGTTTGTTCTTGATTAGATTGGACGGGATGGTTTTTCTGGGCGGCATTTTCTGAAATAAACCAGATGTGCGTGATATCTCAGATTGAACAAATAGAACTAGAAATAAAACAGATCAATGAAGACCGTACTCGTTTAATAAGGCTTGGCAACAAAATGCTGCAAGGAAGACAAAAAAGGGGTAGGAAACAGCACACAGATAATCTAGTTAAGATCAGTTCTTTCCTCCAACCAGAAATATAGTCTAAAATAGACCAGACACTCCTATACGAAGCTAGTAATTATTTGATAGAAACAGTTGGCTCTGGAATCTTCTTTCATTCGTGTGTGTGTGTGTGTGTGTGTGTGTGTATGCATGCTAACTTTTCCTGGTGAGTTTGGGGGAAAAGAGCATTAAATATTCACTCATTTCAAATGTTAGACTTCACCACTTGTGCATACACCAGATGTTGATGCCAAACATGTAAGAAGATAAATAACTGATTAATATTTTCATGCTTCGCAGTAAATACTGAACAGATTTTATAAACATGCAGTAAAAGGATTGCTGAAATTCCCTCCAGTGCCCACACATTTGTCTTGCGACCTTGCCTATTCTGGAAGTTCTTGCCACCCCCACTTCAACGCTGTTTCATTTGAAATGGATTGCGATTCAGTAACTCCCAGTCTTGGGGGAGGAATAACTAAAGCTTCAAACTTGAGCATGCTTAACGAATGGTAGAACTTAATTACTAGTATATTTAATGCTTCTAATTTATATGTTGCATTTCAAGTGTCACTTACTTCATCTTAATGCTTTTCCCAACAACCTGGCCAATGTCATTACTTCCATATTGTAGATGGAGGCTGACATCGAAGAGATGGGATTAAATAAGGGTACCTAATTAAATTTTGGTTGTTGTGAGATGTAAATGATGGACGTCTGTCTCATAGCTCACAC